ACCGCCTTGGCCGTAGAGTCCCCGTCCAGATAACTGAATCAACAGAAGGAACTCGCTTCATTTGGTGGACTTCCCCTTTTATTTGAGGCAACCGAAAGAAACGCACCTGACGGCCTCCTTGACGTGCGAGATGGGCAAGACGGTCCTGTCCAAGGGCCGCACCACGCCGTTGTCCAGCCCGGCCTGCACTAGACCGTGCACCCTGCGTCGGACGTCGTCGGACAAGTGCAACAGCCCAGTGGAGTCCATGGCGTAGAAGGAGACGCTCTTGATGAACAAGTTCATTCCTGCCAAATCGCTCAGTTAGTTTCAGCAACTTTAGAATGTCAAAACGGCTAGATCATAAGACGAGATCGTGACGTTCTCGATGGCGCGCCTACCCATGCGAGTTCCGGTCATGCTGTCCGAACCGTTGATCTGCACGACGCGAGCGTTGATCGCCATCCTCCGCAGCGACGCCCAGAGTCCCTCGCCACTCAAGGTGCTCAGAAGCACGCGGTACCCGCGCCGCATATAGTTGCTGTCCTCGAATGCCTTGCTCAAGTCCAGCTCGAACAGCTCGCCTTGGAGGTTCAGAACGTGGTCTGGCGGGAGCTGATAATACACAGTTCACGAGTGAAAGAGTGGGGACGAGATGTTGCAGTAGAATGCATGAACAGTTTGGCGGCCTCGCCCAGCTTGCCTGGGGGAAGCGCTGCAGGATGAGGCCGTGCTCCTCCTCGGTCCGGTACGTCGTGTACACGTCGCCGCCGGTCGCCAGGGCCACGTCGATGCCCGCCTGGCCGATGGCGGACCAGCCGTCGTGGATCAGAACCCTTTCTCGGGGCAGCAGTTTTGCCGTGTGAACCAGGGCCGTGTACGCCTGTGGAGACAACGCCATCGTCATCATCACCATCATTCACCACCATCGCCACCACTTCCATCGCCACTACTCTTACCATGGCGTAGGCGTACGGCACGGTGGCGGCGTCCTCCAGGCTCCACCCTTTGGGTACGGCCCACTGCAGGAGGCTGTCCACGGCCATGGTCTCGGTGTCCATGACACCCATGACGGCGACGCCCTCCTTGGTCCCCGCGTAGTCCAGCAGACCCACCCCCCGTGGCTGAGTAAAAACAAGAAAAAAATAACAAAAATAACTGTACCGATGTACGTCGTCGTCGACATGGCTTCGCACTGACATCGTGTTGCTTTTGTACCTGTTCCTCCTTAGGCGGCCAATTAATGTCCAGGATGTACCCATCGCGGACCTTAACATTGGTGGGCTCCATGATGGAACCGTTCAGGCCGAGGTATTGGACGTTCATGTTTGGAATGTCGGACACCCTGAGGGAGACATGGTGATGTTTAATGTGAGCACAAGGCCCAGAGAGGATAGTTGTCCTCTAGCGTAGGCAAAGAGAGTAAGGGTCACCTGTTGACGCGCAGCTCCCTTCGGCCGGCCTCGTGCTGCACGATCGGCTTGGGCTTGAGGTAGAGGTTCCCCCAGGCGCCGTTCAGCAGCACGTTCACTGCAAGGCCGAGCTTCATCTGACCCGTGAAGAACGGGTGCGTTGGAGAGAACTTGGGCGCCGTGGCGTCCAGCAGGAACACAGATCGGACGCGGTGTGCGCCCGGGAGCGAGCGGACCACGTCCCGGAGCAGGGCGGGGATGCCTTGCTCGGGCATGGAGTGCCACACGACGTAGGTGACGCCCGTGGCCGGGACCTGCAGCACTGCCACCTGCGAGGCGCTGTCGACCTCCACCACCTGGTGCGGAGAGTGCAGCACGGCCTGCGGCTGGAGCACGCAAAACGGATCAAAACCTTGAACCTAAAACACTAATGATATCTTTTCATTTTTTTGTTATTTTCGGTTATACTGTTTAACTTTCAAGTCACTGAAACGTATTATGTAAATTGGGATATGTGAAGCGCCGCCTCGATTTCCGCTCTATCACTAAATAAACTGAACCCACACCCCCTCCACCTAGCGCTATGTTCCCCGTCCGCGCCCACCTCCACCTGAATAGTCATTCGGACCTAGAGTCAAGGAGCGGTCATTCACCTTTTTGAACAACACCAGGCGACGCGCACCGAAGGCCTGCTGCAGTAGCACGGTCACCTCGGGCACAGCTGGGATTGGCTGCTCTGTGGGCAGCTCGGCCAGCAAGACGGCGTGCGGGGCCAGAAGGGGCGCGGCGGCGTGCGCGTCTACGCCCACCAGGAGGTCGCAGTCGACGGCCTCCTGCGCGGCCAAGCGGCGCACCAGCACCTGCAGCAAGGAGAACTTGTAGTGGGAGTGTCATAGCTGTGAAGTTGCACTTGAGAAAGTCCAGCCACCCGTACCCCGCCCGAACGCTGCGCGATTGACTGCAGCTGCTGCTCCAGAGCAGCGCTCGTCCCCTGCAAGAGCCCCACCACGGTCTCGGTACTCTTGCGGCTCAGCGGTTGCAGAGCAGCCTGCTGGGTGGCGAGCTGTACAGCCGCGGCAAGCATCTCCTGGGAATTCTAGGAGACAAAACAAGGAAATCATATACCGAGTGATTCAGAAAAGAACTACCGTACACTGTATTTGAACATTGAAGGGGAATCCAAACACATATATTCTGAAATAACCCCCGCTTGTCCAGTTGAATACCTGCATAGCGGCTGGATGATCGCCGTGGATCACGAGCTGCTCCAGGTCGACGGCGAGGTGGCGGTGCCCGTCCTGGGAGGGGAATGGCCTAGTCTCGACGCCCGAGATCTCCATGTTGGCGCAGCGGAGCGTTGAGGTGGCGCGGTGCAGGCGGAACACGAGGTCCTGGAGGAGCGGCCTGTCTATGTCCTTCCGGACCTTAGTCTCGGTGGGCTGCTCCTCCTCCTCCTGCTCGCCCTCGGGCCCGTCCTCGTGCAGGAGCGTGCGGTCCGAGTCCAGGATGATCCTCCGCACGCGGTGCGGCACCCGCAGCTCGGAGCGCGTCTCCGAGTCCAGCAGCGTGTACACTTGCAGCAGTGCGTCCAACTGCAGCATGCGGTTGTTGATGTTCACCACGCGACCCAGGACGTCTGCGGACACAACGGTGGGTCAATAACCTGGCCAAGTTCACTTGCGAAGCCAAACAAACCTCCATTGCGTCTCTCACCAGAATGCGATGCGACAACATTCTTAATTGCCTTGAGCTTGCCGTCGACGTACACACCGCGGCGACGCAACTCGTCGTACACGTCGTCCTGGGAGGAGAGGGTGTGTCCTTCGTCCTGGCTAGCGGGTAGCCTTGCCCACATCTTTTTGATGCCTTTAGCGCCGTCCCATGGCGTATAGGCACGGCCCCGCACTAGTACCTTCAAGTCCAGCGACACCTCGAAGTGTCCGCTGCCGCGCTGGTACATGATGTACACGTACGCCTCCTCTGCACAAAGAAAAACACCTTGGTTGCTGTATCTACAATAAAGGTATTCATTCTACCCGATTCTACCCCCTTAATCATAACCATAGAACGTTTCGTCGTGCCGGCTGAGTGTTTAGACGCTCCAACCAATCAACCAAGCAAACAGGGAAACAAACAACGCGATGACCAAACATTTTTCTCAGGGAGGGAGGAACACCACAACGTTAGTCGGCAGGAATGAGCCAATCGACGGTAGGTCCCTTGTAGGTATGAGCTCACCGATAACGGGCATGTCCATGATGTGGCAGAACTGGACGTCCTCAAACACGACCGGGACGTCATCGTCGTTAATAAGGTTGATTACGCTGGCCACATTTTCCTATGCCAACGGAAACACGATACATGGTGTCAACATTTTCTCTCCGTGGTGAGGTAAATAAATTAATTGGTACGAAATTTGACCTCGACGTTCTTAATAGAAGCTTTTAAACTACTATATTATTCGATCGATGTGTGTATCCTAGGCTACCACGTCACTCAGGGTAAGTTTATAGTGTATTTCGACTAAAGGAGGAAGAAGAATAGCGGGTAGAACATAAAGGTTCATGATTGGCCGAGCGCTTACCTCCACTACCGGACGTAGAGGCGGGAAGCTCTCGACCAATCGGTAATGTTTATGTTCTTCTTCCTCCGTCAGTCGAAATAAACTATTATGGCTCCCAGAACTGTGCAGCCGCAGCCCCCGCCCCGAACGCGGTTAAAGGATCGTGAACAGTACGTAAAATTATGTAATTTGTTTCGCCTATACGGTTAGCGCCTTCCGCAGTCCGCGGCCCGCAACTGAGGGACCTGCTTCCGGCACTCACCAGGCAGACGGCAGGCGTGATGATGCTACGGCCCTGCCAGATGCAATCTCGGTACGGCGCGTAGGCGGGGTCCAGGGAACGGAGGAAGAAGTGCTTCTCTCCGGGAACGAAGTCATCCTGCTGGGAATAGCGGCCGGTGTACCACGTCTCCGTGTGGTCCCAGCCCACCAGCGGGCTGAGCGGGGCCGTGCCTCTCGACACGGGGAATTCCACGGGGTCGTACAGGTTCTGGATCTGCGGGTTTAGCCCGGCCAGGTACAGTCTGCGAAAAGAGCGACAACGGCGAGGTAGTACGACAACAGGCAACAGAATCACAGCTCATGGGAAACTCTATCGTCGTGAAGGACTCGACACGTACTTGCCAATGGCCTCGAGTAGGAACAAGGCCCCGTCCGTAGCGTCTTTCTTTGTGAGAGGCACGTTGGTGGCGAGCTGGTCGAGAGAGCGTCGGAGGATGGCCTGGAGCAACCCATGAGGTGCAATTTCAATGGCGATGGCATCCTTGGGGATCTTACGCGAGCTTTCCTCGAAGAACACGGGGCTCAAGAGGTTGTTGGTGTGGTATTCGGCTGACGAGGTCTGCGCCAGCGGTTCGCCCCAGCGCTCCTCCAGGACGCTCGTGGACACCCAGCGCTCGGAGCGAGGCTTGGGCTCGGGCAGGACGTCTTTCAGTAGGGACAACAGCTTGGGTCCTGCGGGCGCGATGTACTGCGAGTGGTACGCTATGTTGGACACATTGACGGCCTTGGCGAACACGCCCTTGTCCTTGAGTGTCGCCACGAAGTGCTGCACGTCCTCAGCCGGGCCGGAGATGGTACTGCTGGTCTTGGAGTTGTGACACGCCACCTCGATGGTGGGGGGCAGCATGTCCTTCACCTCCTCGTAGCCGAGCCCCACAGCCGCCATCATCCCCTTGACGAGCGTGGTCTCGATGGACGCCCTGCCGCGAGCGTGCGCTGCCAGCATCATCTGCTCCGCGGTGAAGCAGCCGTCGGCGTATCCGCAGCCCAGCTCGCCCACCGAGTGCCCGATGATGCCGTCGGGGTGGATGCCCAGCGCCGTGAGCACGTCCGTGAGCCCCACCTGCACCGCCGCGATGCCCACGAACGAGTGCAAGATGTTGTCGTAGATGGCGGGGTCCTCGGAGGTGATGATGTGGAGCAGGTCGACGCCGTGAGGCACCAGGGCGTCGTGGCAGCGCTGCACGGCCCTGCGGAAGACGGGCACGCGGAGCAGGTGGCGCGCCATCCCCGGCCACTGGCTGCCCATGCCGGAGTACACGAACCACACGGGGCGCTGGGCTCCGCCGTGCGGCTGTAGGCGCAGAAGCAGATACACGGGGGTAACGAGTTGCGGCCCAGAAAATGCCCTCCATTTTCATTTAGCAAACAATTGCTATATTCAGTTTTGCCACGCTTACGAGAGCGTGAGCGCGAGAGCGTGGATTTAGGGCGAGGGGGGAAGCGAGGGGCGCGACAGCGCGAGAGCGTGGAGTCGGACGCCTTTCCCCTCCCCGCCCTCTGCCCCTCGCCCTACTCTACGCTCTCACGCTGTCGCGCTCCCGTAAGCGTGGCTAAACTGAATATAGAAAATGTCATGAGTAATTGAAACCCTCCCGGACTTACAGCGTTTCTGGAGGGCAACGCGTCGTCGCCCTCGCCGGCCGGTATGAAGGTGTAGGCGCGCTGGAGGTGCCCGTGGAGGTGCGACGAGTACACCTCGTGCATCAGGCGCGCGTACTCGGGGTCGTCCTCCTTGATCGCTTTTAGCTGCGACAAGAGAGTAAGTTAATTTCTTATTGAGGAAGGTAGAGCCGAGTAGCGATTGTGAGTACCTCTCACATACCTTCTCCAGAGCTCCAGCAAGCCGCTCCTCGTTCCTCGCAGACACGAACACCATTTTTGGGATGGGCTTTAAGGGGAGGAGGCCGCCATCTTTGCGCACCTCGGCGTGTCCCACGTTGATGATCTCCGTAGGCTTGAACGATTCTAACTTTTTGGCCTTGGGGTTAGCGCGCAGCACGGCGTGCCCGAACTGGTTAGCTAAGCCGAAGTTGTTGATGGCGAAGAGCGCGTTGTCGCAAGGGGTGTGCTCCGTGACAACCTGCAGGCGACCCTCGAGGATGGCGCGCAGGTTCGGGTTGATGTTGTTGTTGTCCACGTGCATCGTGGCTGGGATGACGCCGGACTCCATGGCGACCAGTATCTTGCTGAGCCCAATGAGTCCCGAGGTCGCCTCACCGTGTCCCATCTGCCCCATAACGCTGCCAATGAGCAGGGGCGTGGTGCGACGAGAGCAGATGGCCTGGTCCACGGCGGACACCTCCAGCTCGTCGTACACCTTCAGGCCCCCGCTCTGCGCCTCCAAGTAGCCGATGTCACTCGGGACGATGCCTGTCTTCTCCTCCAGTTCCTCGTAGAACTCGTATAGGTGCTGCACGAATCGGCGCTTGTCCAAAGTGAGCAGCGGCGCATGGTGGTCCTTGCCGAACTTCTTGACCTTGGCATGCTCCACAGAGGCGTAGATTCGGCGGGCTGTACTCTTCCGCTGCAGCAGCATACAGATGGCGGCCTCGGAGCGCACCCAGCCGTTAGCTGCGGGACAAGAGGGCAAGAGGGCACCAGTCAGACACCTGCAGCTGCACGTGGTTCAGTAACGGTCTCCAGTCACTCACCGTCCTTGTGGAAAGGTTTCGTCACGCCGTCCTCGCAGACCATGTGCAGATCGTGGAAGTGCTGGGTGACCTCCGGCTGGAAGGACAGGGTGGCCGTGCCAACGAGTGCGTAGTCCACCTCCCCGCTGTCGATGGCCCTCTTGCCCAGCTCCAGCGCGGACAGGCCGCTGCAGAAGCCGGTGTCGAGCGCGTAGCTCGGACCTCGGAAGTCGAAGAAAAACGAGATCCGGTTGGCCATCATGGACCGGTTGTGGCCCATGATCCCGAAGCCGTTCTCGGCCGTCGTCTGGATGAAAATGTTCTCCGACTCGCTGATCGCCGAGGCCATGAACACCGCTGTGCGGGAGCCTCGGATGCTGGAGGGATTGATTCCTGGCGGGGACGAAGAGGTAGAGATATAAATTTTCCGGAAAAGTTTATGATTTAAAAAACAAGGGCCCGCTCTGTGCTATACAGAAAGTAAGGAGGGGGAGGAGACTTTGGCCTCACGTAGAGACAGTCTTGGAGACTGTCAAAAAAGTTTTCTCTGGAAAATTTTCCTTAGAAATTTGAGAATAAAAGGAAAGGTATTGACTTTTTTCCAAATTTTCGTTTTCTTCTGTTTTCCCTACAATTTTTCGTTTTTTTTTTATTTTCTGGCCTTCCAATCGCTATCGCTCCGCCGCGTTGAGCGTAAGAATGGACTACCATTCCAGCCCCGGCGCGGGTCCTAGCGCCCGCCAAGTGCAGGGTAGGCCACGCGCTGCGCGCGCGCGTCCAGCGGGCTGGAGTGTGGCCTACCCACCGGGCGCCGAGAGCTCTTACCAGCGTCTATGATGGCCTCGAACGCACGCTCCATGAGGACCCTGGACAGAGGGTCGGTCGCATCCGTGAGCTTGCGGTGCATGCCGAAGAACGTGGCGTCGAACTTGTCGATGCCGGACACCTTGCCCGTCTTGCCCACAAGGCCGAGGCGACCTGCGGGGGTGGAACACGTGATACAGCTCGTTTTCTCTCTCAAGGCAGGGGGAAAGATTTCGAGTTAAAACGGTAGCCTCCTGGTCCAGTGTGGCAGAGCAGCTCGACCGTTGCGTAATCTCTCGGGAGGCCCTCGGAGGCTTACCGGGCTTCCACCTCTCGTGGCTGTCCGTGATGACGTCGGCGCCGCTCATGAGCGCGTCGCGGAACTCCTGCAGGTTGTCGCACTCCGGGTAGTGGCCGCCCACCCCCGAGATGACCACGCTGTCGTCCATGCCGGCGGTGGTGCTGGTGCGTTTGCTGGTGCCTTTGCTGGTACTGGTGCGTTTGCTGGTGCTTTTGCTGGTGCTTTTGCTGGTGCCTTTGCTGGCGATGCGGATCGTCGTGCCTCTGGTCGTTGGTCGGGTGTGCTGGTCGGTGTGCTGCTGGCCGGCGGCGCACCTCGGGACTGATCACAAGCCTCCCCTCTGGTTGCTCTACGACTACCCAAACGAGGAAGCGCCTAGCGCCTACCGTTTCGGCCGTGTCTGCTTATAATGCGCCCTGCGCTGGGGGCCTCTGATTAGGGATGGTAATCGTAGAGCGCAGGGCAGGGCGTAGGGCCAGCGGTACAAGATGCCAAAAGTGTAGGGGGAGGAAGCGCCCGGCCCGGCCTTGCGAACACACGCCTAGAGAAGCGCGGGGTCAATGACCCACCCACCGCTGGCGCTCAGCTAGGACCCCCCCCCCCTCCCCTTCCCACCCGCTAGGCACATGCACACAACCGCATTTGCACAAACGTCAAACGTGAGCGAAAAATACCAAAGTCGAGTTCTTTTTCCTCAGATTTATTGAGCTTTTGATTACAAAAAACACACACAAAAAACACAACAATGTTACAGTGAAGGGTACGGATATTGGTTGTATTTGGCAGTATCAATATCTTTTCAAATATTTCAACTGCAAACAATAGATTTTTGAACATTGTCAACCAATATTTTCTCACAAATAATTTGTGTTTTATGAAAAGAAAAAAGGGAAAAAGAAAGTGCATTGGACGAATCATCTCAATAAACACTGGACACTCACTGTGGAGTCGCTGTGAGTCATTTGCAGTTTTAAACTGTCACAATGAATGTCTTCCTGCCTAAATTTTGACTATATAATCAGTTCGTGAGGTTCTTTTTTGAGTGATTATTGGGCTGTTCAATATTTTTA